ATATGAAAATAATTATATATTTGTTCCTCTCCCTTAATGAAGGGTGTCTGTGGGAGTAGCATAAATAAGCAAGAACACTGTATGTGGCAGTCTTCCTGGAGCGTGGGATGCAGAGTACTGTCTTCTGCTGTGTCTGTACTATGCTTCTTGTGCTCTGTTAGCACAAAATTGCTGATCTAATTTTGGTTTAACTGTGCAAATATTTATTTACCTAATTAGCATTGCTCATGTGAATACTTTCAGAGAAGCTTTGGGGTATCGGGACATACCAGATTATTGAGCATCTGTGGCATTCAACTTGTGTTTTGTAGGGTTTTTAAAGAAACAATGTTTTTTTAAACTTAGTTGTAGTAACTGGTGTCACAATGACTCTCCCTTGCTTGCAAGAATACTTCCTTGCATTCAGGGCTAGACTTGCCTCTGTACTTCTGTTCTTGCCTAGGTTTTCTCCTAGTCAGCTGCTAGTTCTCCTTCCTCATGTGCACCACAACCCCCCCCAGTTCATTCATATGCTTTTCACATAAACACTCATCAGTTCTGAGAGGGATGATTTTCTGCTGGGTTACAGAGCCTGTTTTATTTTACACACTGCGACAAATACCAAAACATGATTTGAAAGTCCAGTGGTGTTTTACAAAGTGTCTCTTCTAGCACAAAATATGATCTAGAATGGCTGGGTTTTTTTGTAATTTTAGATAGGGGATTTTCAAGTTTTTGTTGCTGTTGGCTAGTTGGCAAATGTTGCATTGAAGAATAGAAGTTCTCTTTCTAATACACATTTGCAGCTCTTATGCCAAAATGTATGACTTGACATCCTATATGATACAGGATGATAAAGCTTTGTATTTAAAGTGTGATCCTGCCAGATAGCCTTGCACAAAACTGCTTGTGTTGTTAATGAAGTGGGAAGACGTGAAGATCAAGAACCTGCAGGGCTTGGTTTTAATAATTGAGCTCAGAGCACGTGTCTTGCTGAGTAATATCCTAGCATTGTCTTAACATCCCCAAGTCATCATCCAATAATAGATGATTGTGACTTAAACATGAGGTCATGAATGCCTGTAGTCATCACAGTTTTACTTGTAGATAAAGCAATGGCTAATCTCTCCATCTCATTACATTTTTAATGTGGAAATCATTTCCTGCTTACTTCCTTTAATACTTAAACTTGTAAATAGCACCTTTATCAGTTCTGACCGTACTAGTTCTGAGTTTATGGGAAGGTGTGCTTACCTACTTCTGGGAATGAAGGAAGGTCCTTTCTTTCAGGAGTCCTTCATGATGTCTGATGGTTCATAGCAAGATATAAAACTGTCTTCCAAGGTTAAACATTTTTCTTTGGATTGAACTGATGTTTCCACTTAATCTCAGTAGCACATACACTGGCAGGCATAGGATTTACTCCTTACTGAGCCATGGTCCAGAAGGGCTGTCAGTTTGAATGAAAATTACTGTTGGGTTTTGAGTTGGTAATAGTACTAAAATGTCATCAGTATTATGTTGCTGTGTTTTATATCACTATTGTTGCTCCTGTTTTGTTTGTCACTGTAGCATCATCATCTTATTGCTTCCTTCATGAGCATACTGGATTATTACATATTATTATATTGGTTGTATTATAAATATGTCTCCTTGTGGTTATACAGTTGTGACAGCAGCAAATCCAGAAGAAAGATAGGGTAACTTTTTTACCAACTACTTGAAAAGTCACTAGAACTTGTCTACTGGAATTCAAGGTTGAACAAAAATTGGATAGCTTTGTTTCAGCCAGCATGCCTTGAGTTTGCTGTGCTCCTAACACTCTTTTTCACTTAACAACCCACTTTATTGTAACTAAATTCATTGGTCAGCTTCTGGCATTGTAGCTAGAGCCTTATTTTTTCACTTAACATTTCCTCTGTCTTTTTGCAGCTGTTGATTGCATCGTATCAAGACCAAGCAGTATTTGAATCTTTTATTACTCACAATTAACAAATGTCTAGAAGGGTTTACTGGTCCATTAAGAGGCCAGGAATCATAGAATGCCAGGTTGGAAGGGACCTCAAGGATCATCTGGTCCAACCTTTTTAGGTAGGAACAGGGTTTAGATGTAATGGCCCAGTGTCTTGTGAGTCTGAGTGTTAAGTGTCCAGCTGGGAATCCACCACTTCCCTGGGGAGATCATTGCAAAATTTGACTGTTCTCATAGAGAAAAATTTTCTTCTGATGTCCAGTAAGGATCTCTCCAAGAGTAGCAAGCATCCATTACCCCTTGTCTTTTCCATGTGACTCCTTGTAAATAGGGAGTCTCCATCTTCTTCGCAGCCACTTTTTAAGGACTGGAACATGGCTATGAAGTCTCCCCTAAGCCTTTTTTTTCTCCAGCCTAACAAATCCAGGTTTCTCAGCCTTTCCTTGTACAGCAGGCTTCCCAGCCCTTTGATCATCTCAGAAATCCAAGGTTTACAGTTAATTCTAGTCATAATCTTCCAATAAAACTTTATTAAATGGTAGCATGTAAGAGTTCTTTTGCTATTTAATGCTTTAAATATTTGAAAGTTGAGTTGTTAGTCAGTGATAGTGTAAGTCATTGTGGTACTTCTGTTCCAGGACCTTCTAAGGTTCCAGGACCTTCTAACTACAAAAGCAACTGAGGACCAGGAATCTTGAAGTGAGAAGATTGGAGTTTGTATTGTGAGGTGCTGGTAGAGCAGTACCATGGTGCTTTTCAAGAAATTATTTAGTTTACTGGAAAGCTCCTCAGTTTTCATAGAAAATATTACTATATAACAAATTTATTTTTTTGTCATTGACCTGCCTTCACAGAACTCATAATAATAATATAAATTTCTGTATTGCAGATTTAATCCAGTGCACAAATGAGATGAATGTGAACATCCCACAACTGGCAGACAGTTTGTTTGAAAGAACTACCAACAGTAGCTGGGTAGTGGTCTTCAAATCTCTTATCACAACCCATCATCTAATGGTGTATGGAAATGAGGTAATACAAAAAATTTATATATCTGATAACAGTTCCAGCACTTCATTCCTATAAATGTCAGCTAAATGCTTCCAGTAATTATCTTAGTAAGAAGATAATATTTTTAAATTTTATGTCTAACTCTGCACAAACATAGGTCTCATATGTTTGTCTACTTAGTTTGTTTCTGATTTCAAGTTTGTAATTCTAGAATCCAAAGGAAGTGTCCTGAATGATGTAGGCACCTTTTTCTGTTATGTTAATCTATTAAGAAAAAAGCACTACACCACCAAACCTAAACAAGCCCAACAGGAATTACCTTGAATGGTATTCTGAAAGTTGAAAATGGAAATGTTTTTCGGTCATGCTCCCGATAATCCAGGTGGTCTTTTCTCCCAGACGCCTTGATTTCCCCATCACTCTCTAACCTTTTGCAGTGAAGGCAGATGTGTGCCCCTGAGGTGGCTTTGGCCAAATAACACCAAATACTTTAGAGCAGTTAAGCAAACAAAACCCCAATTTAAACAAAAAGGAATAAGCTTGTTTTGTTCCACTACTTGAATCCCTACGAAATGTTACTTTTCAAGATACCAAGACAAGTGTAGTAACAAGTAGTTTTTCTGCATTTAAAAGAAACAAACTACTTTTAAGGCTTTCTTAGAAAATGTTTACAAACATTTTTTTTTTATTTTTTTTTATTGGAAACAGTCACCACGATGCAAGCAATGAAAATTTGGAAATTAAAGAGAGGTAGCTTTAGAAAATTGCAAGTAGGATTTTGTTGAGAGGACCTGAACTTTTCATTTCAGGGATTCATTCAGAGCTTTTACAGGTCATGTAATTGCTTCCTCTTGACTGTGTCGGCAGGGGTTTTAAGTTCTAGTTTGGTATGGTTTGGTTTTTTTAAAGTGTGTGTATATAATATATACATACATAGCTTTCTCTTGCAGGTTACCTGCATACTATTCCTGGTTTTGGTGAAAATCTGTTTTCTAGCTAAGTAAGCCACAAGAGGGCAAACTTTTCATGTTGACTTTATCACTGGTGTAATTGACACTTTCTAGCACAGTCTATACAGTTTTGCTGTACTTGCTTTTTGAGTCATATAAATGTTAAAATGATACCAGTGCATTTCATAGTAATTAAAGATATTTCATGGGACCACTGTCTGAAGTACTTCCCATTGTAAGAATAAAACTGCCCAACAATTTTTATTTGCAAAGTATGTTAAAGAAATAATAAGGGTGAGATTTCTGGTCAAGATGAAACTTTTCACAGCTAGAAATAGTACTTGAAGAATGAACGTGGAAATCAAGTGCTTACAAAAATGTTTAGAAATTTATAGAGAATTTGTAAATCCATTTTGTAAAACAAACAAACAAAAAACAACTGAAAAATGGTCCTCCAGCATTTGCTTAATTAATTTATAGCTAATTACTGAGTGTCTTATCCTTCTCCAGTCTTTTTTCTTCATAACCTATGTATTTATGCTAATGAAAATAATTTTGTAGTATGTTACATGAATCAGAACTAGTTTTTCCTCTGTCATAATGTTATTACATGTGTGAGTGATTGGATTATTTTTGTAGCAGCTCCCTATCCAGTGGTTGATGTGACAAAATTGTTTTTCCTACTAATGTGATGCCAGTGTTCTCAAATGTGTCTTTACAAGATGAAAATAGCATCAGTTTTGTGAAATGTAATTCAGAACTATATGTAACTGATAAGATGTACTAAGTGTGATACTGTTTTAGATAATTCTTATGGTTATTTAAGGTTTAATTTATAAGCAAACTAATCCTTACCTCATCTTATTTTCGTATTTAAACCAAGTACTACTACAGTTGCATGCTGAGTAAAGATGGCCTTTGCTAGTTGGTAAAATGAAATCAACTTTAAAAATTGAAGTGAGTGAAACAATTGGGAGCATGTAAAGTGATAACATCTTGGGGTGGGAATTTTTTTTCACAAGTGTTCAGGTCCATATTGTGGCTTAAAACAAATGAAGTCTTTCAGTCAGAGGCCTTCATGCAATATCTATATAACTTTGATTTGATCACATGTTTTTACATTAAAAATAACAACTTAATCTTAATTTGAAAATTTAGCAGAACTTTTATAGTAGTTTCCAGATTTGAAATCAGTCTTAAAGCATAAAAGCTGAATTTCATAAGCTGGATAAAAAAATGTTTCTAGTACTGTTACCCCAGTTCCAGATAACTGGTAATATAGTAAGAGCATTCCAATTTTTCCTTCCTTCTAGCGTTTTATCCAGTATCTGGCGTCCAGAAACACATTGTTTAATTTGAGCAATTTCCTAGACAAAAGTGGATTGCAAGGTAAGGAGTCTTTCATTACAACTTGGTAGCATGCTTCTAACTTTCTTAACTAAGCAGGTCTGACTTAATATTCCTCCTATTTTTTAAGAGATTTCTTCTTTTGAAAAGATGTATTTTAATTAGTAAGTTAAATTTTTTGCTTAATTAATTTATAGCTAATTACTGAGTGTCTTATCCTTCTCCAGTCTTTTTTCTTCATAACCTATGTATTTATGCTAATGAAAATAATTTTGTAGTATGTTACATGAATCAGAACTAGTTTTTCCTCTGTCATAATGTTATTACATGTGTGAGTGATTGGATTATTTTTGTAGCAGCTCCCTATCCAGTGGTTGATGTGACAAAATTGTTTTTCCTACTAATGTGATGCCAGTGTTCTCAAATGTGTCTTTACAAGATGAAAATAGCATCAGTTTTGTGAAATGTAATTCAGAACTATATGTAACTGATAAGATGTACTAAGTGTGATACTGTTTTAGATAATTCTTATGGTTATTTAAGGTTTAATTTATAAGCAAACTAATCCTTACCTCATCTTATTTTCGTATTTAAACCAAGTACTACTACAGTTGCATGCTGAGTAAAGATGGCCTTTGCTAGTTGGTAAAATGAAATCAACTTTAAAAATTGAAGTGAGTGAAACAATTGGGAGCATGTAAAGTGATAACATCTTGGGGTGGGAATTTTTTTTCACAAGTGTTCAGGTCCATATTGTGGCTTAAAACAAATGAAGTCTTTCAGTCAGAGGCCTTCATGCAATATCTATATAACTTTGATTTGATCACATGTTTTTACATTAAAAATAACAACTTAATCTTAATTTGAAAATTTAGCAGAACTTTTATAGTAGTTTCCAGATTTGAAATCAGTCTTAAAGCATAAAAGCTGAATTTCATAAGCTGGATAAAAAAATGTTTCTAGTACTGTTACCCCAGTTCCAGATAACTGGTAATATAGTAAGAGCATTCCAATTTTTCCTTCCTTCTAGCGTTTTATCCAGTATCTGGCGTCCAGAAACACATTGTTTAATTTGAGCAATTTCCTAGACAAAAGTGGATTGCAAGGTAAGGAGTCTTTCATTACAACTTGGTAGCATGCTTCTAACTTTCTTAACTAAGCAGGTCTGACTTAATATTCCTCCTATTTTTTAAGAGATTTCTTCTTTTGAAAAGATGTATTTTAATTAGTAAGTTAAATTTAAAAAAAAAAAAAAAAAAGCATCATATGTGCATGAGTTACCAGAATGTCAGTGAGACAAGACTTCGGCTTAAAATAAATGAGTCAATTAGCTACTTGAGGACCTTTTCAAAGAGCATTCCATCCATCTTCGAGATTAACTCTTGTGGGCAAATAAATTTCTCTCTAGTTCAGATTTTTCAACTGAAATACCTTTCCAACCTGTTACACTGTAATTCAGTGCAGTTCTCATCATACTTGTAGTTTTGTTTTGGTTTTTTTCGTCCTCAGGTGGTTTCTTAGTTTTAGCATCTCTTTTTATATAGCAGCTTCTAATTTTTTGCCACAAAGCAGTCAGAGAGAGTGGTTTCCTGGGCACAGAAACCTTCTCAGTGAGAACCAATGATCTAGCAAGTTGCCTCATTTTATTGAGTCTTAACTTCCGTGGTCTTAGTAGAGTATGAACAGATTTTTGTCCTGGTCTGTATCCTTAGACTGGTAGTTACCAAAATATTTCCTATCTACTCTGTCTTAACATAGAAGAAATTCTGTCATGTCTTAATGTTTCCTTCAATGGCTTTTTTTTTCTGCTCAGTTTTAAATGAGAGAATTTTTTGTGGAGTTGATGCGAACATCCTTGTGAATGCATCATGTGATTTTTTTTTTTTTTTCTTAGCAATTTCTATCACAGTGTAAGAGAACTTGCATAAAATACTTTGATTTGCACCTTGGAAGTAATTTCCTTAGGAAGCGAAGCAAAAACTTGTACGTAGTTCAGATCTGATAGATATTTGCAGTATTGTCTGTTAGATTTACATGGTGAATGTGATGACGTACCCTGTTCTACGTAGCACAGATTAATTGTACAAAATCACACAAATACAATTAAGCTGTCATGTGTTAATACCTTGGACTTCATTTAGAGAAAGGTTCTTGTTCTTTAATTGACCAGGTACGTAATAAGCTTCTGAAACTTGTTTTGTAGGCTATGACATGTCAACGTTTATCAGACGGTATAGTAGATATCTGAATGAAAAGGCAGTTTCCTATAGACAAGTGGCTTTTGACTTCACAAAAGTAAAAAGAGGGTAAGGACTGAATTTTTGTTTTCTTTATACTGAGGTTTTATCTTATGTCCTGTTATTCAAGTGGAAAATACCAGTATTGGCTCCAGTTTAGTACAGACAGCAGTCGAGTGTCTCCCATGACACAAAGGCTCAACTGCCCTGTTACGTGAACTGCAAAAATATTTTACTTCAGCTGGTGTAATTTTGCTTCTTTAAACATTAGAAGTTTAATACAAACACCTTCCTCGTGTTTCTCTTTTTTTCCCCAAATGTCTGTATGAAATTTACTACTTTTGTAAATGTAATGCAATTCCTTTGTTAACACAACATAGTAGTAGAGATTATTTTGAATTTGTCTAAAGGAATTAAAATTTTCTATGGAAAGTGAGCTCATTTAAGATAGACCAATTGTTTGAGATTAGTTATCTGTTTACATGTAACACAGTATAGAGCACCAGTAGTTGGGTAAATTGCAGAACAATGGAATTTGGAGATCTCCTGTATTGGGAAGGCTGGAGGGAATGTACTGGTCGTGGTTGAAAGTCTTTCCAACTTTGTTACCTCTTGATTCAAAGTTTTTTAAAGTTTAGAAACATAATTCTAGTTTTACTTTGGGGCATCTTTTCATACACAGGATAATTTAGCTCAATGCTGAATAATTAATTCTTAACTAACTCACAAGAATTTCAGCCTGAAACTGTTAAGTGAGTTAACTGCAGTGTTGGGTTGCCTAATGATATGTTGCAATAGTGTTGAAAAAAAAACATTTGAAACTGGCCTGAGAGCACTATTTAAATGCTGTGTGCCCCCTTGCTAGTATCATACAGTCCATTTTGTTTTGAAGTGTGATGGCAAAATAAAAGGGAAATGCTTGAGCTCTTTCCACAGTTTCTGCCTTTAGAAATGGTTAGACAACATAGAACAGTGATTTCCATGCACAGGAAGGTCAAGTGGCTACACATACACTAGAGTGTTTCCCAGTTGCTTTGTGATCAGGTGTTTTTAGACCTAATGAGGTGAATTATTTAGCCCACCATCCTGCCTGGAGGGCCTTCTGTGAGCCAGCAGCAATGACTGTTCTGGTGGCAGCAATCTACCTCATTTTTTTTCTCAGGGGCTCTGCTCCCATGCCCTGCCATGTTGCTATTAGGAGGGAGTAAGTATGTGGCAGGAGTGTACAACTGGAGGCAGTGTGCTCCTCTTGGCCTTGCAGCCTGGAGAGCAGCCACAGCCTTTCTGTGCAGTTGCACTGTGAGATTTCCACTTGCAGGAAGCATTTGGTTTGCTGTGTGCATGCTGATGGAAGTGCAAGCCTGTCTGATTTATCTCACAGAAAGCAGTTGTTTCTTGCCACTGAAATGACTGAATTGCTTCCTCCGTGGTTTCTTTTATTGGATATTTTTGTTCCTAGTCTATTTAATCTGGGTAATTAATAAAAATCCAAATATTGGTAGTCAGCCACTGAAAGGAAGTGTCATGTAGTCTCTAATATTTCTGAAAAATCTTGAAACACATATTTCTGCATTTGTTTGTTCTTCCTTACTGCTTTTAGTTGAAAAGAAAATGATTCAAACTGACAAAATAATAACTGAGTGCTGGATTTCTGAGCAGTATCAGTTTCATTTCCTCTGAATAAAAATTCATCTTGGATTCATATTTTGGTCAAATAAAAGTTGTTGCTTTTGTACACTGTGGTTATTATAGTTGCGTTGGCTAGACAGCATTCCTAAACATTGGAATGCCTGCTTTGAATAGCCATAATTTAATTATTTTCTACATTATGTTTCTAACTAACAATTGTCTTAAAAATTCAAGTGAAGAATTTTCTTTTGTTCTGCACAACAGGGCTGATGGAGTAATGAGAACAATGAGCACAGAAAAACTCCTAAAAACTGTGCCAATTATACAAAATCAAATGGATGCACTTCTTGACTTCAATGTAAGTTTATCAGCATGTACATGTCTAACATACTATTGACTTTGAAACAGATTGCAGAGAGAAGAAGATGCACTTCCCTATCCCTGAAAGTGTTCAAGGGCAGGTTGGATGGGGCTTGGAGCAACCTGGTCTAGTGGGAAGTATCTCTGCCCATGGCAGGGGGGTTGGAACTAGTTGGTCTTTAACGTCTCTTCCAATACAAACCATTCTGTGATATGATATAAATTATTGTTAAGTGCAATGTTACATAAGGATGGTTTGTTCATTTATAAGCTGATTATTTCTGCCCTCTGTCTTTTAGCTATGTTAGTTAAAGTTAACATTAGTGAACAGAAATGTCTGCCAAAGGGATTTGATTTAATTCTGTGCTGAGTGATCCTGTGCTGATTTGCTAGGCTGCTACTTTCCATTAATAGCCAGACTGGAAAGCACGCCTTGGGATAGAGTACTGGAGTTCAACTAGAAGTTTTCCAATAAGGGATCAATTCAGTTAAATTAACTTTTTTCTGACCTTCCTAGGTCAACAGCAATGAACTTACAAATGGTGTAATTAATGCTGCCTTCATGCTCCTCTTCAAAGATGCCATTAGACTGTTTGCGGCATATAACGAAGGGATTATTAACCTCCTGGGTAAGTATAACTACTTTCTGCAATGTTAAACTTCAGGGAGCGAGCTTAGTAAGCAATTGCAAAGAGCTCCTCTTTTTCTGATAAGTAGAAATAGTCTACTGTAAAACATAAAAATATTGAGAGGACAAGGGGTAATGGTTTTAAGCTGAAAGAAGAGAGATTTAGGTTAGAGATCAGGTGGAAATTCTTCAGTGTAAGGGTGGTGAGACACTGGAACAGGCTGCTCAGAGATGTTGTGGATGGGACTCTGAGCAGTCTGTTGTAGTGGGAGGTGTCCTGCCTATGCAGGAGAGTTGGAACTTGATGACCTTTAAGGTCCCTTCAACTCAAAAAATTCTGTGATTCTGTGATTACAGTTATTTCCAAGTCAAATTTATTTCCGAGGTATTCCTGTACAATTTTTCCATTGCATTGTGTACAGGGAGGGGTAAATTCCTGAAAAAAGCAAACCCAAATCAAGATTTCCTTCATTTTTTTTCTTGCACTACTTTGTTTTGGTTGGGTTTTTTTGTCTTACTGAACTGCGTGGTAAACCTGAATCATGATATTGATGGTTTGTTGTTTCTTTTTAAGAAAGGTGGTCAGACTTTATTTCTTTTTAACTGAAATGAGTTACTGTCAGTGAGAAATTTGCAGTCACAGCATTTGCGATTGGCAATCAAAACTTTAACGATTGGTTGGCATATGTTCTAGAGTGTATATTATATTTTAGAGGGAATTAAAAATTTCAAGCCTTTCACTTGCAAACACTGAAGATGCAGGGGAGCATTCTGTGATTGGATCAGGCTACCTGATTGCTGTTATTACCCAGTTCTTCCAAAAAGGAAAGGAAAATCCAGAATTAGGCAGTGAAAAAGTCATGCTTCCAGTCTGAAGCCCCTGTATGCTTCTTTTCCATCTGTGAGAACTGGCATGCAGTGTCATTCACTCATGTTTTGAGTGAAGCTTTATATAGAAATAGACCTTCAAAGCACTATTGTAAGAAGGAGGGTGGGACCCACTAGCTTTCAGCCCTGGTCTTTTGTAATCTGTTGCATCTCATTATAGACTGCACCATAATAGAGGCATCAGTCTGGCAGAGGATATTAAAATCTTGCCTGATATATGGCCAGTGGAATAGAGTAGATGTTTGACTGCTGGATTGTAAAAGTGTGTTTTTTCCTTAAGAATATGAATTTACTTTTCTTTTGGTTACTTATTCTTAAACCTGATTGTCCTCTTCAGGATGCTTATGCTTTTGAGATCTAGTATCTGCATGGTAAGGTGTAACTGCATGCATGTGATCATTAGCTCATGTTCCAGGGAGCTTCTGTCTTTTGGTGCAAGTTAGGCATTGTGACTTCTTCAGTTAATATACTAAATCAGATCTGCAGGCATTTTGTTTGTCTTGTTTTGTATGCTTTTACTTTGCATATCCTTTGCAGAATGCTTTGCTTCTTACTTAATGCAAGTATTCTTACTGTTTATAGAAAAATACTTTGATATGAAAAAGAACCAGTGCAAAGAAGGCCTTGATATATATAAGAAGTTCCTCACTAGAATGACACGGATCTCAGAGTTCCTTAAAGTTGCAGAGGTAAACTCTAGTCAGCTAAACTTTGCCCTTTATTTGAAAAAACTTATAAAGTGCTATTTTTCTCATAAAGCAAATACTTCTTCCTTCCAGCCTAATTGCAGTTCCATGAAGGGCCATCTTTCACTCTCTCCCCTGGTGATCAGTTCATTTGAGGACTGTGTTGAAAAACCTGACTACAAAATGCTGACTGGTTGATCTTTCACTTAAGGAGGGTGTATAAATATGCATTTTAATTTTTTCTTAGCTACATAACATGAGTCTGATCTGCATTTTAGAAAACAGCTTCTTTACAAAACTTTGTAGGTGCTTTTGTTTTAGCAAATATAGCGGTAGGTCTGAGAATTTGCCACATAAATTGTGGAACAGGCAAAATTCTGTAGCCTTAACATTCAGAAACATTTGATTCTTACTGGTTTTATTTCTAAGGTTTTATCTGTGTAAGTATCTCTGTAATACACCTACTTCAAATGTGTATACATTTAACAGCATGTTGTTATAACCATCTATTATAGAATACAGATTGTGGAGATTTAAAATGTATATTATGAACAGGTTTGTGCTTTTTACATTACTTCATCTTGATGTCGTTTGCTTTTTGAGCATCTCTACCTTACACCAAAGCAAACAGGTTCTAAAGCTCATTTGTTTTATTACAGCAAGTTGGAATTGACAGAGGAGACATACCAGATCTTTCACAGGTAGGTAAACCTATTATGTGTTTGCCAGGACATGTCTGTTTTGTGGTTGCGTAATCAGAAAAACTTGGCATTATGGCATTCGCTTGTACTTTGTTGCGTATGTTGTGACCAAGTTAATTCCAAGTTTGTGATAAAATTCAATCTCTGTCAGAGCCTGGCTTTTCTATGCAGTGATCCCATTGTAAAATATGATAGATAATTTCTGTCATATAATTGAGTTTTAAGACAACCTAATTTCTATCATGCTTGAAGATGCAATTTATATCTGAGTTCACATAATGAAACTTTTACATGATACTATGAAGCTGTGGTTTTTAGCAAGCTTGCTTTTGGCTGGATGCCTATTCAAACCATGGTGAAGGCTTGCAGAGCATGCACATAGAAATCACTTTAGGTACAATTTCCTTCTTAGTGTCTCCTGAAAAACTGGTTGCTTCCAATTGTCTGCTTACTGTTTCCTAGCTGTTAATTTTAACATTTCTTGACATATTTCAGTACTTACTGGTGAGTCATTATGACAGAGTAATGTAATGAGGAGAGTACATCACCTGATACTTGAAGTAATTAGATGTGTGCAGGATGCCAAGATGTGGTACAAGTTATTCTGAGCTGTTCTACCAGTTGCCCTACAGTTGCATTCTCTACAAGTCTTTTAACTGCTGATTTGTTTTGCCTTGGCTTCTTCACATCTGTTCCCTGATGTCTGTCTTTGCAGGCACCGAGTAGCCTTCTTGATGCTTTGGAACAACATTTAGCTTCTCTAGAAGGGAAGAAAATAAAAGATTCCACAGCTGCAATCAGGTGCTTATGTCCTTGTCCTTGTAAACAACTGATGAATCGAATGTTAAGTCCATTGCTTTCTATTTCATTATAAGCCAAGGTTTGTGTAGGTTTTGTTGGAGGCAAGACTGTATTTTATTAGCAATGATGGATTAGCAAGTTGTTCTATCTTTTGCTGAGTACTTAAGACAGCTTCTTCCATGTCAACAGAACTGGAACCTACAGAGGTGCAAGCACTTGCTGTAGAATCATGTAGTAGTTACACTTTTAAGATCTAACCTGCTTCTTTCACTTACCTGCAAATGTTCATTTTATGTTAATAACTAGACTTCTATAAGTTATGTAACATTTATTAATTTTCTTAAACTCTTGTCTCTAAATTCTAATTCCTTTTTTGTCAAAAGCAAGAAAATGCTTCCAGAAGTCCTTAAATTAGGAATAGATTTTTAAAATAATTTGGGGTTAAAGCCATACTCTACATGGTGGAGGCAGTCACTGATTTTAAATGCTTGCTGAAACCCAAAGTGAAATCTAGAGAAGTTCTCTAGGCAACTGTCTTCATTGTTTGATTTTGCCATATTAGGCTTTTAAAAAATTTAAACAGCATTTCTCTGTTGCATGTTCAAAAAATTAAGGCAGTAGTGTTTTATATGTTCTTTTTTTTTTTTTTTTTCTGGTAGTGACAACATTAAGGTTTAGCAGTGTTTTGTTAGCTGCTTTGCAGAATATTTGCTATCTTTTGTAAGATTAGTTTGTTTTAAAAGTCAAATGTTTTGTTTTAAGTCCTTTTGCATGCTCTTAAACAGTATAAAATTCCAGACTTTTCCTCTGGGTTGTACTAGTTGCATTGGTAGTGTCTTAAGTAAACCTGTTAAATTAGCAACAATTCAAACTGAAGCCCGGATTATCAGAAGTTCCCACGTACCTACAAATAATGCCTTCCTAGGCAAACAGCGAAAGCTTCAGACATGAATTCTGTGGTGCAGTTTGGACAGGAAACATTTCAGGGGGAAAATCCAATCTCCAGTGGGTATTACAAAGAGTTCAGAAGGAGACTGGGTGGATACAAGCAAAGTGTTTTTCACATGTTCCTACCACGTGTCACCTATTAACAGCCAGTTTTTCTCCTGTCCAATTACTTCAGGGCTACCACCCTTTCCAATGCAGTCTCTTCTCTTGCAAGCACTGGCCTGTCCCTCACAAAAGTTGATGAAAGGGAAAAACAGGCTGCGTTAGAGGAAGAACAGGCTCGCTTAAAAGCTTTAAAGGTAAGCATACAACTTTTCTAATTGAAAATACCTTTATTATGTTCTTGTTAATAGCTTATTAGGATTCTTAAAGGAGCAAAGGGAAAAAAGAGAGTTTTTAATATTGAATATGTGCTGTTGGCAAAGTGCAGAAAGTAGAATCTTACAAGCATACACCATACAACTTGTAGAGGGTTTGCTAAAATAGTTTATGGAGGATTTGTGGAACCATTGACTCTTGTAATTATAAGTAGCAGATACTAGTGTGTGGAATAACTAAAAAGAATTCTTTAACTTCTGCTTTACTTACCTCCAAAGTTGTATATACAAGTGTTGTTTCTGGATTTCTTATGCCAGCTCACTTTCCCAACAGGAGAAACGTCTAAAAGAACTTGCAAAGAAACCTCATACCTCTTTAACAACTGCAGCTTCCCCTGTGTCCACTGCAGAAGGAAGCATAATGACTACACCAGCCATTGATATTTTTTCTACCCCTGTCTCTTCAAACAGGTATGCTTAATGGTATTGCTTCACTGTGAGATGCACTGCAGCTGGGGTTTCCTCTAAGCTGCTGCAGAGTATACACTGCAGAAGGTTGGTTGGGTCTAGAGTACATTAGTGATGTGATAAGAAATGATATTTTGGGTAAAGTTGTTAGACGGATAATTTATTACCATAGGTAATGTTAAAAGTGTGTTTTCATCATACATTTGCAGAGTAGTGTCTGTTAAGAACCAACTGCTGATAGCCCCTGTAGCTGTTTTTAGTCTGTGGGCCAGACATTTGAACTGTAAATCACACGCACTTTGTCCCAAAAAATTCTTACAAGTTAATTTCGGAAAAGTAAAATAAAAATTCAGTTTAGGAGGTCATAAAGATAATACTGAATTTAATGTTGCATTTCTGGAACTTTATAAGTAGAGTAGTAACAAATGCTTGGTAGATTTTGAGAGAAAAAGCCTGAAATTGAGTTTGAAAGTAGAGGTGCAGGTTTTGCAGTCTTGAGTTGTATCTGGAACCTCTCTGTCTGCAAGGACTTGCAAAGATAGTTCAGGAGTACTCACTGCACACTAATCCTGATCTTTGTCTAACAGGAACTGTTGGTATGAGTAAGTGTGCGATCTTCATTCTGTAAAATACCCTTCAGATCAAGCAGTAGCAGAAGGTACAGTGCTTTTATCAGTAAAGAAGGAAATAGCTCTCTGAAGGTATATTTTTACTTTGGGTGTGATCCTAAACATAAAGGATTGCTTAGTTGTCCTGTTAGAGCTCACATAAGAATCTACTTGTCTCCCTTAGCTTTTTGCTGTTCTTTAAAAGTAGTCAGCACTTTGACAGCCTTCTTTGCCCATTAGAAAACTGTTGGAGGAAATTACTTGACACCAAATCTGTGAAAAATAGCTGAATCACATCTAAGGAGCTAGAGAATCTGTCAGTGTTAGTAACTGACAGACTTAGTTGAAAACATATTTTCTTTCAAATTTATTTTCAGAGGCCAGAATATTTTGAACAGGTGTGTGCTTTGAGGTAGTAACTTTGACTAGCTGATCTTGCTTCTTGAGAGGTCTGAAACAGAAATATCTGACAAAGCTTCTTCAAGCAGCTGGAAGTGCAACATAGAGAAGACAAGAGCATTTTCTTCTAAAACAATTGATAGTTTGTGTTTTAATTCAGTTGCTGGCAGTATGACAGCTATGAGCAAAGAACAGATTTTGCAGCAGGAGCTGCCAAGAAGGGGATATGTTGGCTCCTAAGTTCAGTTGCTTTCTATTAGATGCAATGTGCATGATTAATCCCTGTCATTAGCTTGAACAAGATTTACCTTGAAAATGATCTTTGTTCTGCTGCTCACATTAAAGGGCTGTACCAGACCATTCTGCTTGTTAGCAGGAGCAGAAGTGGCAAAATATGATTTCAATTGCTATTGAAATGAAATAGTAAAAACTGAATGGTACAAGGGATTGAGACAACAAGAAAATATAGAGACATCTAAGATGTGGCTACTAGTCTCTAAACTCTTGTGCCAGCCTTATTTTGAAAGATGCTTGGATGCCACAGGGTCTTAGCTTCTGTCCATAGTAACAACCGTATGTGCAAATTTTGCTTCATTTTGTATGCTAAAGAAGTTCTGGGTGAAACCAATGCTCCATTTTTTTCCAGGACAAATTTCAAGTATGAAATGAACTCTTAGCAAGAGGATAAATTTTACTCTTCTAGTCTGATTCCTGAAATTGTTTCAGTGGGTGTATTTAAGACTTCAGCCTTCATTTCCATGTGGTGTTCTTAGGTCTCAGTTTGATTTAGAATAGTCTAAAATGTGCCTTAAAATGAGTTTTTATTCACAGGACTGATGTATGACAGTGTTTCAAGGCTTCTTATATTTTCCTTTCCTCAGAGTTCTTCAATTGCTCATGGGTATAAGCCAGTTTTTCAGCAGTGGAAAGATGATAGTTGTGGAATTTAGATGTAACATTTTGGTGGTGCAACCCATTAGACTTCATTCTGTCAGTCTCCTTTGCCATCCATCAGGGCTTTCATGAGGTTATTTTAAAAGTTGCTGAAGATTGCTGGACATAGCATGGTCTTGCCCTGCTGTGGGGCTGTCTTTTTGTCTTAGGTGGCTTTGACAAAAGTCACTTGGAACATAGAGCTTAGCTTGCTAAATTAACACTTCTCTACAGAACTGAAAAGGTGAAGTTCACCTGACTTCTGGATTTTGGCTTAGTTCTACCTGTTTTGTAACCAGTTTGTAACAAAGCTTTTCTGACTCTAGACGGTTGCCTTGTATTGAAAACCGATGTAGTTCCAACAGTTGTATTAATTTGTCTTTGTAGCACTTCAAAGCTGCCAAATGATCTGCTTGATTTGCAGCCAACTTTTCATCCGTCTGTACATCCTTTATCTGCTCCACAAGTAGGAAGTACCTGGGGAGGTAAGAATTCTGAATTGGATCAAGGTTCTGATTGCTGTGGCCAGGTTCCTGTAAATGTTCCCTCTATAGTCTGTGGGCTTTTTCTTCCTTAAAAACAAAGGTCTTGCAAAGACAAGCTGCAAGTGGATGAAGGGAGCAGAGAAAAATCAAATCTGGGTATGGATTAAAACAATCTAGCAACATGTGGTGATTACAATGAATTTTGATGTGACAGTTCTTAGCAGTTACTTTAACTGTTGAGCAGCCCTGTCAGCCTCATAACTGGTGTCTTCAAGAGTTACATAACAAGCTACAGAAACTTGGTTGCGAGAGCAGTTCTGTGAAAATGACAGGTAGTCCATGTTGCATACACAGCAACTCGAATACAGAATTTTTCTAAGAGGAGTTTTAAGTTTTGTCTTAATGTCAAATCAAATTTGCAGGTGATAATAGAAGAGAACTTGGGTGGGGCTTCAAAGGAGGCAGTAGTGACAAGTATGCACAGAAAGCAAGAAAATTCAGTTAGTTTTTGAAAACAAATCAAGGCATGTCTTTACAATTTTTTTTTTCTGTATTTCATTCAACTACAAAGGCAAATCAGCAAAAAACTGTGGATGGATCTCTTAAGTGAAGAGGCAAAATTCAAAAGAAACTCTTCCCTCTGGAACTTACTTCATAATACTCAAATGATTTTTCTGCCCAGTTGCTAGGATGGACTGAATGAGATGTTACATTTATCTTATAGATGCAGGCAACTCCTTAAACCAGGGAATCAAGCAAGAGTATTCCAGAAAGTCAGAAATATTACTTCCAGGATTAGTGTGAGTGTCAGAGCACTTAGTCATTTTTTCTCTTTGCTGCTTTGCAGTGTTCCAGAATACTTCTGATATAGGTAACGTATTTCCTGCTTGAACTGTTGGTTATACTGGTGGAGGATTAAAAATCTCTTATAAAGGTGTTTCTTTTTACTTTCCTACATAAATGACACTTGGTAACATAATAAACTCCTGAACTATGTGGTTATTTCCAGATTTATTTTATTATTGTTTTTTTAATAACTCAGATGCCTGCAAAAATGCTGTGGTTTATGATTAGAAAAACTGGGAGTTGCTGCTTCAGTAAGTTTTGTAGGCATTGGAATAATCCTCTTCTGAAATTCTATTTTGCTATTTCTTTTTACGAGCTATAGCTTTTCCTAAAAATCTTTCCAGTTATCTAACATACCTTCCTAATAATCAGTGTGTGTATTCTATTTTCCTATTTACTTTTTGCTCTGTACTTTGCTTTTTGTATATTTTCTCACATTCGTTTTTAGGCAAATAATGCACAGTTTTGAGTGATGAAGGCAATATGTTGTAGCTTCAAAAATAAGTAGTTTATTTGCCCTTTAGTTTTGCTGAGCAGAGCACCTTTTGAGAAAGATGCCATCAGGGGCATAGAGAATTGCACATACAAATGTCAGTGTTTAATAGGCTTAGAGTTTAGAAATTGAGAAAAATGTTTTGGCTTATCTTGTTTGCTTTCTGGAAAATACCTTCTGTTCTGTCTCATCCTGTTTGTTTCATGGGTGAGAGATAAAAGGGGATATTATCTTAGTCTCAAAAGTCCCATCACAATCTGGCATGTCTTTATTAGCCTGAAAGTTTGTGTTTGTTCAATGTTGTGTTACTCCTGTTAAGAGTCTTCAAGTCATAGTCACTGATATATCTGCTAACTGCTGACACATTTCTAAATGCTTCTAAGATTTTTATTAACTGTGACAATTTCAGATTGCTAACATTTCAGGCTAAAATTCTGGAATCACCATCTTTTGTGTTACCTTTTATCAAAAGAAAGTAAATCTCTTTAGCTTGACAGACATGAACACTCACTTCCCAGAGGTGAGGTAGATAAGAAGTGCTTTCCACATTTTACAGATGGGGAAATCTAAGCAATTAACTGACTTGTCTGAAGTCAAACGGCAAGTCAGTGGCAGAGCCAAGAATGGAACCTGAACTATTTCCAGTCCTGTGCTCTAACCACTGCACAGCATCCCTCCCTTAGGTAATTTTCTGACATGATGATTGTATTTGGTTTATATGGTGACTTTAAAAAGAGTATTGACCCAGCTACAAGTTGCAATGGACTGAAATAAGTTGCTGATAAAAGTTTTATGCAGCAGCTCCTAGGTGTGTAATAAAAGGGTAAATTGTTCCAAAGGTGTTATATTTGGGTTTGCTGTCTTTGGTCTTGCACTTCCAAAAATGTTAAAGCTAACAAGGTTAAAATCTCTCAGAGAAATAGGCTCTATTATTGCATGTTTTCAGTTTACTTCTTTCAAACTGTGGGACATGCCACTGAGAAATCTTTGTTATTGTTTTCTCGGGTAAAATACTTCTAGTTTAATTACTTAACAGTAGACGTTTGCAAAATTCAAATTAGTCCGTTAAATGCACCTGAAGCATTAATGTCTAATGATAGCCTGAAGATGCAAAGTAATTCCATTGACACAAACAGATGGCATATGTATTCAAGGGTGAAATTGGGGTTTAGGAACATTGATGTGTTACTGTCAGAGAGACAGCAATTTTTAAAATCTGAAAATGCAAGGATATAAATTACCCCAACTCAATTAATTTTCAGTTACCTTTGTCACTAGGATTGGCAAGTTTTGAGCCTCGGACAAGATTGAACACACTGGCTGGAATTGGAATGAGGCAGATGAGTGAAGATCCAGAGAACAGATTACATTTCTGAGAAAATCTTGATAATTACATTGTCTAACTAGTCAAAACACATGAAACTCTCTATACAAGCTTGGGATTTAGGAACAGAAAGTAGAATGCCAGCTATCAATTTGTACCTAAACTTGAGAGGCAAAACAAATGTATCAGTGTGGAAATAATCAGTGTGACCTATCTGTTTGGATTTTTTCCAATTACAAAGAGAACCAATAGAATCAGAAGAATGTGAAGCAGCAACAGAAGAAGCAAGCAAGAGTTGATTCAAGCATAATCTGACCTGTTTTATTGTCAAATCTGTTTGTTCTACAGCTTCTAGAATAGCATTCAAAGCAGACAGTTTTAATCAGTACCTGAAAGCAAGGACTTGGTTTCAGGTGACTAGCTGATTGGCATGTGGACAAGTGCACTAAGTGGTAATATAGCTACACATGTATAAGAATACTCAGTTTTGTATCACTGTTACAGCTTGCAAATATATGTATTAACTTATTCTGCTTATTCTTAGTGTTTGACGCTGTCATTTTGCTGACTGAATAGGAAAAAGGCTTTTTAAGGAACTTTGCTCTTTCTTGCAATGTAGCTGAGCAGCTTGAGAGAAATCAGGCCTTGCTGAATAAGGTACCTTGAGCTTGCAGGAAATCAAAGTGTGTATTAAGCCTGCAAAGGATAATGCATTTATAATGCATTTATGGTTCTAAAATTTCACTTTTTTAAGGACTTGCATATGACAGAAATGACATATGACAGAAATCTACATGTTGTCAATCTGTGGAACATTTCTACCTGAGAATCAAGAGGTCAGATTCAGGGACAGAAAAAATGAAAGTTGGAAGCTACTGTATGAATCACTGTAGTATTTACAAAAATTGTGGATAAATCCATTATCTAACTAGGTAGGAAAAAAAAAAAGCCAGAAACTGAAGTACTCAGGAAATCTCTCCTGTTTATAATTTCTGTAGTGGTTTTGCCTAGAAGAGTAAGTTGCAATTCCAGGCACTGGGATAAAAAAAATAAGACTAGATGCAACTCTTGATGATCTCACTAGTGAGTTTGGAGTTTTCTATTGATGATTTGTGTGCTTTGAAGCCAGGCAGCTAAACTACAGCTCCTTCTGTCAGCAAGCATTGCTGTAGCTGCCTTTTGTATACTGTTGGATTTTGGAATACAGGAGTCATTGAGCTTGGCAATTACATCCATCAGGAAACCGTGAACGTCTCCTATATGCCTTGGGAAGTGATACTCGTAGATCCATGTTATCTTCATAAGGTCTCCAGGGAGACCTCATATCAGCCTTCCAGTGCCTGAAGGGGCTACAGGAAAGCTGGGCAGGGACTTTTTACAAGGGCATGGAGTGAGAGGACAAGGGATAATGGATCAAAACTGGAAGAGGGGAGATTTAGGTTAGACGTGAGGAAGAAATTTAGTGTGAGGGTGGTAAGACCCTGGAACAGGTTGCCCAGGAAAGTTATGGATGCCCCATCCTTGGAAGTGTTCAAGGTCAGGTTGGATGGGGCTTGGAGTAACCTGGTCTAGTGGAAGGTGTCCCTGCTCATGCAGAGGGATTGGAACTAGATAATCTTTAATGTCCCTTCCAACTCAAACCATTGTATGATTCATACCCCAGTACAGTCTGACAGTTTTCTAAAGAGGAACATTTTCCTTGACACTGCTTGTCGCTGCTTGCTGGTAGGAAGGAAAGTGCTTTTGTCCTGTATGCTTCCTGGCTGTATTCATAGTTCTTGAAAATTTCATGATGCCCAGTGAGAACAAAATACAGTCTGAAGAAGGCAGAACGGTACAGCTCCATTGTTCTTGTTTGTTTGAGTTTTTAAAGCTATCCTCAAGATGCTCCAGCATCATCTCCTCACTTAGCATCTGGAGTTCTGTTGTGCTAAGAAACACTCACTAATCCAGAAAATCTGCAAGTATCAGGACATGACTGAGCAAAGCAAAAAGAGATCGTGTTCAAAGAAGAATAACATTGTTATTTTTCATTATGTTAATTTTCAGTATAAAACACACTATGGAGGAAGCACACTTTGGAAGACCAAGATTATATTATTTATTTTTTTAAAAAAAGTAAATGTGTAGCTAATATCTGTAGTATTTTTATTGAGCAGAGAATGGCTTATTCAGGACTATTTGAAAATTAAACTATAAGCTAGGTCATCTGAAGTTTAGAAATATCTGGAGAAAACTATACTTCCTGGACTCTTAATTCTTACTCTCCTGTACCTAGGAAGCAACATGTAACTAAATTAATCTCCCTTTTCTTCTTTCTCTTGCTCTCTGGAATTGGACAGATCCTTTTTCTGCTACTGTTGATAGTGTTGATGATGGCATTCCAAACCTAAATCCTTTCCTTACAAAAACTAACGATGCTGCTCATCTGTCTGTGTCTTCTGATGTATCTACTTTCACCAGTAGGACACCCACACATGAAATGTTTGTTGGTAAAGTACCATTTTAAGCTCATTTCCTTTTTCCTACAAATTCTAACATTATTTCAGTTTCTAAAGTATATTTATGGGGCCTTTCAGAAACTAAAAGCTGGTAATTCAGGGCTTATTTTTGTGCAATGTTAGAAGTTGATTTAGTAACTGTGCCATGAAAATGGTGTTAAAATCCTTGCTTAGCGACCTTGGTGGGATTCTCCCTGATGTGAGGGAACTTAGTTAAGTTAAAGCAGTTGTTTGAGTACACTTGTACACAAAGTCTCTTAGGCTTAGGAATTCTAAGGTAAAAAATTATATATGCCTGGGAATGAAAAGGACACTTTGTTTTCTTGGGTTGAAATCTTATTTTTAAACATAGGAGAGAATTTTTTTTTTAGTAGTTCCCTCTCTTCCACAGACTTGTTGGCATTAACAAAACTGGTGAAGTCATACACATTCTGCTGCGTGGTCTACTCAAAATTGTTTACCCACTAGGCAGTAAACTAATGACTCACCTCTTAAAACTGTTGAAATCTTACTTTGGGCATAATTCAGCATAGCTGTCATATTATAAATCCTTCCAACGTTTTTGTTGGTGCAGCTAGATAGTAATTGAATTACTTTTCAATATGAAGAATTAAGTTAGCTTGCCTAGCCTAAAAATCAATTAATTACATGTCAGTTCTGTTTTTAAGCAAAGCTAGCTTTAAAGACAATCATGCTGCACCAACAGGGCATTCTTTTTATAGGTTGAACCCCACTAAAGTTGATCACAGAAGAATCCAGACTCTTACAATAAAGAGACCTTTGATATCTCTGGTACTTGTTAATAGAGTTAAAACACAGGGATCACTGTAGAGATATTAATCTACCTTAGGTCACCTTAGGTATCTAGTTTCCTAGCTTGCCTTTGGTTAGTGGAGAGAGAAAACAAGCAAGATCAAGCACAAGAACTCTTGCTGTGAACTTCTCTCCACAGTTTTCAGGGAGCATTAGTTGGCTGAGGCAGTAGTATACAAATAATTTAAGCTGGTACTACTGCAAAATGATCTAGCCTATGCTTTTAATTGGTCTGCCCCACACTACCAGTAAAATGTATGTGGTTCATGGACATGTAGAATGACAGTTTGAAATACACCTTTATATTTTTTTAGTAGGGTTAAATTCAATTAGGTTTCCTCTGTATAATTTGTTGTGTGGTCATATGAAAAGTGGCAGAGCAGGGCTGTGAATGTGACCGTGGTAGGTTTTTGTGGCACTCAGTGGTCCATGACATGGCAGCCCATAAGTAGTTGCTATAGAAGGGTGGCATTGATACGTTGCATTCCCTTCCAGTATCTCATTGTCTAAAGGTGTGTCTAGAACCAGTGTCACCTGACAGATGGAAATGTGAAATGTAAACGCAGTTTTAGCTGTAGCATAAACAAGGTGCTAAGAAAACGTGAGTGTGGATTTAAAATAACTCTTTCTGGTTCTTTAGATAATTACAATCCATTTACTGAACTAAATCCCTTTGTGACAACCAAATATGAATCCACTATTGGGCTGTATCCTTATACTTCAGGTATAAGAAAAATGCCTTGATGCTTTTACACTCATTTCTTCCAAGAGTGTAAACACGGCATTTGGAAAAAAGATAGAAATCGTAATCTAGCTGTAGCTTTGAAACCATGCCTTCCCCTTTTGTGTTATAGATTATATAATCTTTGTGTTGTACTGTATGTCTGATGTGTGTTGATTTCATTCCATTGGTTCTATGTTATTAGAGTATATGTGCATTTATAAACTGACCTGAAATTGCTGAAGTTAGATTTTTGAGTAGCAGATAAACAGTATATCTTGGTTCTCTTTCTGTAACTCTCCCTCTTCTCCTTTCCTGGCTTTTTCTCTTGTGTGATATGCCTTATCAGACTCTTTTTGTGGTCCTCAAGCTTACCCTAATGCTTCTCATTTCCGCAATGAGCCTTCTTCTGTAGCTGGTCTATTTGGAGGTAGGTAATGGGATAAAGCCTCACCACAAACAAAAACCTTCCAATGTGTCACGTGCCTAGAACTAGTAGGTATGTTATTGGCTACAGAAGTTCATTATTATAGTGGCTCCAACTTGTATTCATGTGCTTGTACTAGGTGTGTTGTCACCAATGGCTTTTTTTTTTTTTTTTTTCAGTTTGTGCTAAACTGAGGCTTATTTATTCTAAACATTAAATGAGTATCTCCCCATTTCAGGACCTCTTGTAGTTTACGTGTTGCTACATACCACATAAAAGACTTGCATGTTACAAGTATCATCTTATTCTACCTCATTGCTTTTAAGATAAAGGATTTGGGATGTTCTTGCTCCTTGTGACATTTTTGTTGATATATTACTCTTAAACAGTGCACTGAAGTAGTACAAAGTGTATCTGCTGCATTCAATTACTGGCTAATCATGAGTGCAGCCCTTGCACAGCTGCACACATAACCCAGTACTGGTGCTGGGTCTGGAATACCACCCTGACAGTTGCTAGACAGGCTGTGGACTGTGGCATATGATCATCTATCTAAACCAGATGGAACAGGGATTGTTGCTACCTTCAATAAATGATTTGTGGAAGAGCTAGTTCTTAAAAGTACCATAAAGTCACGTTTTGGTTTAAAGTCTTTGATTAGAAATTACACTTAATTTAACAGAAGGTTAAGTACTATGTATTATTACATTCCCTTTGTTCCATGTCCAAAAAGCAGGATGATTACTGTCAAGTCTTGTTGATTTATCCCCTCAAAGGATCTCCATTAACAAGACTGACCTTTGCACCTTAGAACATCCATGTTAGACAAAATGCCCTGGGCTGGTGGTTTATACCAGGAGTAGGATTTGATCTTTTTTCAGAGGCTGATTCAAAGAATTCCTATGTATTGTTTTCTTTTCTGGCTTGTCTCATCTTGTTAGCTTCATGCAGCTTGGAACTTCCTCAAATGTGAGAGAAGGAAACTTGTTTCAGTTAAGGCCATTTTCTAAAGCAAAATATGAGCTCTTGTAAGTCAAGTTTTCTGTTGGTACAGGCACAGTTTTAAGAGTTGCAGGACATCCCATCACAGGAATGC